AGGCGATCAATAGAGCCAGGACCATAGGCGCCCATTTCAACGATGAAATATTTGTGTTTTTCAGTCAGGCGTTCCCTAATAATGCGTGTGATTCCCATCAATGTATTCACGCTTCCTGGTGTCCATAGAGTGGGGGCTGTCATTTGGAGGATATGGCCAAGGACATGCTTTACGGAAGTCTTTCCAAAAGACCCCGTAATACCAATCACAAAAGAGGCGCTTTCTCTAAGCTTTTCTTCTGCTTCTATCCGATATTGTTTTTGGACGTTTTTTTCATGAAAGCCTAAAAGCCAGTTGCTTAAAATAAGCGTAAAAGGAGCAAGGTGGATCGGGATAAGCCAGGTAAAAATATGGGGAAATTTTAGGGCGTAAAAAAATCCAGCCCATAAAATGATTGCCCAAGAAAGATAGAAAGTTCTTTTTGCGCGAGGTGTAAAGACAAGCTTTTTTTTCCCTCGCTTTCGAGGATCTACTTCTTTGTAGGCAATCCATAGGAAAGGAATTGGGAGGATAATCCCTGCCCAAACAGTCTTTGGGATAAATAGGAGCGTAATGCCGATAAAGATCAGGATCACAGAAAGGCGTTTGTCAAAGATCCTTTTTTTCCAAATCCAATTAAAAAAGCGGGTATTATTATATTCTTCTTGTTGAAAATAGTGCAGATAAGTAAGAAGGCGCTTGTAGCTGAAAGCAGCGAAGCTGAAGAACAATATAGTAGAGATAAGAAAATCAATCATGGTTTGAGATCTTTTCAATAAAGTTTTTAATGAGGGCGACGACTTGATGGTGTCCCGGTCCAAGGATGGAATAATGATTCAGGCCAGGTAGGATGAAGAGCGTCGCGTTTCTTATAAGGTTTTGGTAGCGTTTTCCCATTTCTGGGGGCGTTTGGTCATCTTTTTCACCAAAAGCTAAATGTACAGGGCAGGGGACCTTTTTGGCAATTTCTGTGAGATCTTCGGAAACGGTTTTGACAAGAATATCTCTCAACTCTCCAGCATTTTGATAGTCTGCGCTTCCAAAATGTTTGCGGAGGGCATCTTGAGAAATGCCTAGGAGCGGGGCAAGCTTTTTCCCAGCTTTATAGGTATAGATTTTTGCCTTCAATGTGAGTTTTTCTAAGAGGGTTCTTTGCCTTTTAAGACCGGCAGCGCTAATCAGAAAGAGTCCATCAATCAGTTCTGGGTGTTTTGCTGCCAGACGGATACCAATGCGACATCCAAAAGAATGCCCCACCCAGATGCGTTTCCCTTTATTTTTAGGCAAGGTGCGTAACCAATCTGCAATGTGGTCAGCATAATCTTGTGGGCCCCAGTTTTCTTCTGGCTTGGGGGAATCGCCGAATCCAGGAAGATCAAGAATATAATGATGACCT